CTCTGAAAGTAGTGCGCTTAAATGCAGTCACTAATTTGCTTCACGCCATTAATTAATCTCCTCGTATTTCTTTGAGAAGTCATCGAACACATAGCGTGTAGACTTGAATGACTTAAGCTAATGTGTCAGTCGTATTCCAGACATGTGAATACATGCATAGTAAATCCGCCACATTCTATGGCATAAACAGTGCTAATTGCGTCGAACAAACAGACCACCACGTTCTGATGTTAAGAATACGCGTTGGCTCTACAACATTTTCAAGTGACTGCATTTGACATTCACGCGAAGTTAGCATGTTTCTGTGATCAAGTTAAAACTGCCTCACAGCTGTGATCCCTGGGCTAGTGATAAACATTGCATCATCTAAAGCTCCCAGCAACGAGGTAATCAACACAGCAACATTTCACGGCTGGACCTTAGACCGTGAATGTAAACCCACCAAATGCACAGACAATACCTTATGACCTTACCTCCAGGAGGGCAAACTTCCAATTTGATTCATTTAAACTTCCCTTTTGTGAAATCATTATAACACCAAGTTTCCTTTTGCGTTGGTTTTAAGCCTTTTTCACTTGCAAACTTCTGTTAGCATTCATTTCCCCACCAAATGCATGAATGACTTGAGCTACAAAAAACCATGCCCATTGACCACATTGCTTACCTTGTTTAACATAAATGCATGTACACTAAACTGCCTGTCAAGTACTTGACTAATAATGCACATATCGGCAAATTTTGTCACACTAGTGACGGATACAATTTGTCGGATTTACAAATTTGGAAATCAATTTAACAATCAGGATCGCCATTCCGAGCCTCACTGGAAGTATGTAGTGTCGATATGAACAAAATACAATTTTCGTTTATTTCGCCTCCTTCAACATGAACGCAGTAAAAAAGCGGAAAATTTCACCCTCACTTTGATGCATTCACAGTCTATGCAAAGGAAAATTCCGTCAGTCGCCGATTGTGGCTAGAGAGAGATTTTCATTTTTATTATCCTCGTAATTAACCCCTTCGTAATTTTGCAAAATGCACCACGTCAACCTACACAACAGACAAGTGTTTTGGTTACTGGTGTAAACTGAACATTGAACTAGTTGCATAGACTATTAGTTCTCTGTGGTGATGTCGACTACAAGGTTTTAGAGAGAATATGTGCAGAATTCTTAAAACACAGGAGAATTTTGAGTGACAAATCTGATTACGATGGGAGACAATATGTTTTGGAAATCCAGTAAATTGAATTAGGCAGCGTTGGGGTTTTAGTTGGGGCCTAAAGACCAGTCTTGTCTTGGTTTTCATATTACTGAAATGCAACCATTGCGTTTTACTTGTTTAGGTGGGATTACCGCCACTTATCAATTGACTGAGATGGCTGCTGATTTACACCTCCAACTTCTCAATCACAAACTTCAGCTTCAACAAGTTGAAGCCTCGTTGGAGCTTGATAAGACGAATGTGGAGCTTCAGAAGCTTAAGGAAGATTTGGAGGAAGTGATAAAATTGACAGTCGAACTTATTGACAAGCCAAATAGCGAGGGTGAATGCAAATGGAAAGTGGGCGATATGTGTATGGCCCTCTGCTCCAGAGACAAATTGTACCATTGTTCTCTTTGGTTACTCATTCGCTTAGGTATTATAAGGCAAAGATTCTTGAGATTCTCGGCAACGCCGCCAGTGTCGTGAACTTCGTCGATTATGACACGACAGATATATGTCAGGTAGGTCTCTCCTAATTTAAAGTTTGTTGTTGTAACGTGGAGGCCTTAGTTTACCTATAAGTGGTACTAGGTTTCATTTGTTTTATGGGTGGTGTCCGTACTGGTAACGGCTCTGGTGGCCTGCCGCCAAGTGATATTCTTGAGTTTTTTCGGTAACCGCTCATGCGTTATTCATGCCCCCTCCCCACTTTCCCTTTTTGTGAACTGATTTAGTGCAGGAAGTCTCCAGTGCTGTGCAAGCGCACGTATGCGTTCCGGGTCCCTCGGTCTAGAATATCGTTTTTCTTTTTAAATTATTTTTGGCGATTGCTTAGCGAATACTACTATCAACGCCAGAAATGGATTTTGGAATGCAACGTGGCAGCTGAAGCGGACATGCGTTAGTAGCTGCGGTCTCGATTTGCTCCTGATAAATGGTATGCCATCTGTTATATGCCCTCGGTTGCGGAAGTCGACCAATTATTGCCTAACGTTGTCTGGTTTTCACCATACTGTCGATTGCTTCATTTGTGGTGTGTTCAGTTGTGCATGTGAAACTCTTTTCACTTTTAGCTTTCCCAAATGAAGCCAGTGACGAATATTTCCGCTCCAGTGCAAAGAACGAAGTAGGCTAGATTTGGTCAACTTCATTTTGTAGAAAAGAGGTTAAGCATCGCTTGATTGAGAAGAAAAAGCTAAAAAAACTGAAACTGGCCGAACGGCATGCTGAGATCGAAAAGGCTTGTGAACAGGAGAAGAATCAATGGCTCAATTTCAGTAAAAAAGTGAACAAACATAGCAGATCCAAACGAAGCATTTTTGCCTCGCCTGAGACTGTTGATGGTCGAGTCGGAATTGGTACTTGCGGAATTTCGGGTCGACCGATGACCAAGCTTCCAAGTCATCACCGGCTGATGCGAAAGTGACTCATCGCACAAATCACTGTACATATTTGTTGTTTTAACAGTATTCTTTACAGAGTTTGATTTATGACTATTTTACTACACTAGGCCATATTGGGTTCACTGTTTGAGTTCTGTGTATGCGGTGCTTGCATCTGAATTCAAATTGTCTGCTTTTCGGCGTTTTGATTTCTTTCTATATGTCGCTTTTAAGGGATTAGTGTATTGTCGGACGTGCCTTATTGGCTAGCTAATGTTGCGTTTTCCCCTTAGTTTGCGGAATTAATACTAGCCTTCACAAGTGTTGGCTCATAGCGTAGTTGCGGTGTTTCGCCAGCACTCTCGGTCTCCAAACTCTTTGGAAGCCGGTTTCCAGTCGTTTGTCCGGTCTTATGTGGTCTGCCTCAACACACCTCTGGTTTCGCTCGTTCATCAACGATCTTTGTAGTCACTTTAGTTTTGCTTATGTGATTCCACGAGAAAAGCTCTAAATTCACGGTCCTCAGCGTGCGCATCGCGCAGGCACTAGGCGGCTTACCAGAGTAGGCGCGAAAACGCCTACTCTGGTCCATTTGACAGAGTAGGCGTTTTGTACCTACTTGACAGTACCTCATCGTCCATTATTTACTGGCGCTATTCGGTGCCCGGAGTTCGGTTCCCAATCCCATAAGCCATGAGACGACAGTGCAGCAGCTGTTAATTGCGAGGATGGACATACTCTCGTCCATAAATATTCGTGCATGTGTCGATTGATCTCGGAGAAGTAGATGCTCGATGACCCACCGGTGGATCGTTTCATCCGTAAACCCACCCAGGGAAAGGTACAAGATCGGGTTTCGGTCCTTTATTATTACCTCTCACCAAGCAGCTGCTGAAGAAGTTCAGAGCTACATGTACTTAATGGCAGAAGCCGAGATCAAGAGGGTCCCTCCATGGTCCCGTCAGACTGACCACGATTTATTCTCAGATCTGTGATCTAGGTAGAAAAGTCGGATTATTTTGTAAGGCAGCAGTGTGAGTGTTTGCATGGTGGCGCTTTTTGGATTTGCATTAGGATCTCGTCAATCATATGACTGGCCTGGTGGGAGCACAGCATCGCTGGAGAGGGTGGCTTCTGTAATCTCATTGGGGGTCGTGCGATGAGGCTCTCAGGAAACCCCTAGTCCACTATTGGCGGTATTAAAGCCGTGATGCCGGTATATTGACAACTTAACGATCATGCTATTGTTAGGCGTATGGCATCGAATTCAAAAACAGCTGGATTCTCGAGTGATTATTACCTCGTAAGGTAGGCAATAATTGCCCGGGGAGGTGCTGCCAGTTCTGCGTTTTATCATGTTTCGGTTTGTGTCAGTCGTGTCTGTTATTGTACGTGTGTGTGATGCCAGTTCACTCTATAACACGTACGTTGTCTACACCAATTCTGCTTGCCCCTGATCACTATTAAGAGTTTTCGCTCACCAAAGCATCTAATTCCAATCCGCCTTGAACATTCTTACGTTGATTTATGGTGCGTTCTTCTACATGCGTTAATTATAAGGTATAGTGTGAAAAGCACATTTTTGGGTTTTTTAAGCTTAAGAACTAGGTGAGAAGCTAGGGGGCTCCGTGAACGATATATTGTTTCAGCTGACAGCTAGTGCGAGCTAGGTGCTGGATGTGTTACATGTTTTGCTGATATCAAGCCTTTCGACTTTCGTTAAAATACTCGACTTGATCTGAAACAACAGTACCTCTTCTTGGAGGTTGTACCCGATCACTGGTGTGGGACGAAGAAAGGGACGTGGACGACACGGTGTGGCAACCTGACTGATAGGATGAAGAACAGCCAGAGGATCGACTATGGTGATTACGGTGGTCGTGGTCTTTTGCTAGACGATCGGCCAATGTTCTCGGTCTCGGGCTTAGTTCGTAGTTTCCGAGCTGAAGAGCCTCGGCCTGTGACTTCAACATGCAAAACGGTTAATACTTAAACTGAGTTTACTTCAAATACAACATGAATGTCCTCGTAATAGTAGTGTTTAAAGTTAGTGCCCGAATTTTGTGCAACATGCCACTACTAGACTTCATTAAATTGCTTGCAATGAGGTCGACTGATTTTACGAGTGGATTCAATTTTAAAACTGAAAATGTTACGTACGTAGACATTTCCATGACCCTGTCAATTTAATTGCCCTGTGTTGTTTGGACTAATCGTTTGCGACCGAATGTCAAAGAAGTCGCCTCAACAACCATTGTCCACCGTATAGGATATATTATTTTGGCCTCAAATGCAAAACACTGTCACACTGTTTTACAATAATCTTGAACCTCCAACTTCTTGTGAATCGTGTTTATTCACACCCCTTAATCCGGTCGCTCCACCTCCGACACAGGGTTCCCCTTTTCGCAGCATGTCGCGAGCCGCGCGAATCCTCAATTCCCCCTTCATCAGCACGAATATTTATCTTAGAGTATCCCTACACCTAGGTCTCGATGTTAGCGCCTGTATGACTCACACATCCGAGGTATAAATACACACCCGCAAATCCCACACACGACACAACGACACCGACGTGGTTGAGCTCTGAAGTAAACGGTTGTGTCCACGTCCTCTCCGATCTTTTTCTTCATCGCGGGTTATCAGGGAAACGTAATCGGGCCAGGGTTAATTCCGTGACCCCGGCGTGGTGTAAGATCACATGTCGTGGGCTTTTAAACTGCACCTAATCCCTCAAACTACTATATGATACTAAGTGTAGATATGTGTGGCATTCGTGTGATCCTCGAATACGGCGCTAGACCCCCAAAAACAGCTTGCTTCCAAGACAATGTTGATGGTGCATAATTCAGAATGTGCACACGTAATACCATTTCAAATCAAAATCGTTGGTAATGTGACGCATACCTTCTGGTGAATTCCAAGTCGTGCAGCGCCTTGTTCATTTGAGACGACAGTCGAATTTTCTTAATTTACGCGAACAATAAGAGCGTAAGTTGACGATCTTACAAAAGTGTAAATTGCAAAAGCATTAGTAAAGCTCACCGGGAATCTCAAGAGCAAGCTGTTGGAGTCGGTTTAGAATTTCTTCGTTTTGTCTCTGTAGAGCTGCCAGGGCCAATTTAGTTCGTCGAAGCTCCTCCCTTAACTGGTTTCGTTCGTCGCGAACGCAGGACCACTTCTCACGCCAACTTGTCGTACAATCTGACCACCAGCTAACTGTTTTTTCCAGCTGAGAACACCTTGCACGTAACTAAGATAAAAAGAGGCATTATCCAAAGCCCTAAACCATTCTAGGACCTGCAAGTATAACCTCTTCCACACAGTTTTAGCCAATGGGAAAACCACTGGTTTTTCTAAGGCCATTGGAATGCGCAAATGGAGGACATTTTATGAAAGCTGGGGTAAAATAACCACTCCTTCTTTTAATGCGCAATTTGCACTGCCCAATTCCTTCGGGCCTACTGGTTGACAAATAATGATTTCGAGTTTCAGCGAGCCAAGTCGAAAGGTTCTACTGATATTATTGACAAACGCTCAAATGATAAAGGAACGAAAAGCGATTTAAGGTCTTATCAACAAGGCTGGTATCTGGAGAAATCATATTATTCGCGTGATTTAGCTTCCCAAACACCACGAGCGTAGATTAGTGAGCGATTAATGAGCACCAGCAAGACAATGTGCCAACGCTAAAGGTACGGATGTTAGTGGTCATACAGGTAACGAATAAAGGCTAAGGCTAGGAATGACACGAATTAGAGATTACATCGAGGTGTGTTAAGGTATTAAAAGTTAACTCTAGCATTCCTCACAAGTAAGGGTCTGAACGTTTCTATGCGCCCACTAACTTAGTAGTAAATGAATATAATAATCTGGGAAGTGTAGGTGCAACAGTCACAAAATAGCATTCACTAAGATGAGAGGTATACGGGGATGTTAGATTTTAATCGTGTACTTTTACGAACATGCTTAAGATGGATCTGTATTGCGCGAGAAGGTAAAAAACTTGGGTCACAATTTCTTTAAAACAGCGGCCTTTACAGAGCTCACGACATGGTTCAATTCATTCGGTTTGCAAAATCTTGTTCCCGGCACATACTGGTAGGTTTGGAATGAATAAGTCAATGAATAAGTCAATATAGTTCCTTGACGTTAGAAATCAAACAAACCGTCCTACGAAGCGACAAACGAGCTCAACTTTTGGTAGGCACTAAGTCGGTAAGGATTATGCACATAATTTGATGATTTTCTGCGATTTCTGCGGTATTGATATGAAATCAGTTAATTTAGGCAAAGAAGAATGCGTTGTGGCTCCAAAAACGACGAAATACATGCAGCAACCTGAGAAAATGTGGTGTGAATAATAGAAGCCATTGGAAGAGGATTGCTAGCGGCATATTTAACCGCAAAATATGAAACTGATCATTTACAGTCACCTCGATAATTCAAGGTCACTGAGAAGGTCCAAGTAGTTTCAATCGAAAGCCCTGTTGAGGTTTGGCTTCGAAAGAAAAACGACCGAAAAGGCCGTAGTTAAGGCTAGGCATAAACTAGTGTACGATTGTACAATTTCTAAAAAGTTGGAGTCATCTTGAAGCAGAAATCGGGAACATTAATGAGCTGGGCAAATTTCATGTTCATTAACGACTGCTTCATGAATAGTCATTTCACAAAACTAAGCGGAAGTGATCATTTCGAGGTGTCGGTTATAATAATCGAGTCTGTGCACGTAACGAAATGACCACCAGCCAAACGACTCTGAAAGTAGTGCGCTTAAATGCAGTCACTAATTTGCTTCACGCCATTAATTAATCTCCTCGTATTTCTTTGAGAAGTTATCGAACACGTAACGAAATGTACATCTGCGAATCTTTTTTTACTAAAAATCAAATTAAAAAGACCGGTTTGCTATAATATTAGCCTACCTATATACTTCCATAATAATGATGTATAGGTAAGATAGGCCGCTAAGTGTTATTTCCTCATGTTAGCAGATATGTATCGAAGTATTATCATTGATGGCTTAACTGAGAAATTTTTTGTTTTTTTTTTCAAGATTGTTGGTAATAAACCGTGTTGTAAATTAGTGATTTCTGTGTTTTAAGGAATCCTAAACCTACTGTGGTGAATTCTTTTTCGTTTAATAAATATATGACAAATCTACAGTTAATTTTTGAAACACATTTCTAAAAACACATTAAGTAATCAACTGATAAATCTAATGAGTTACTAACTAAAGTTAGCTTAAGCCTATTTGTTGATATATGTAGATATAAATACATTTATACTACTTCAATCAAGTCGCGATCTCTTCCGCGGCAATGGAGGTGTCGCTGATCCTGTCTAAGCTCATCTGTAGGGTATGAATCCATACCGGTTGCTTCAAGCATATCTACAATGTATAAGTATATTAAAATATTTTAATTTCACCATTCCCGATTGGATGTCGATGACTTAGTACAAGTTGATTAGAGTGCATGGGTTTATTGTTAGTCCCATCCCGATGAAAAAGAGTGTTTGCGCCAAATGGCATACCTTGGGTCCACATCATAGCAAATTATTTAATGAGGCCAAAACATCACGAAATATTTCTTTTTCTGAATAGTGTTGAGGTCAATGTCTCCGAACTAACTGGAGCGGCGAGTAAAAATGAACACTTTTTGACAACTTAAAACAATAGCAGGTCAAACAGATAGCAAACTTTTAATACCTGAAATAAATACCATACTTAGTCTCTTGTTAATAAGGCTTCATCAAAGTTTTAAATTTCGCATAAATTGCGTGCTATGTCAGTTTGCTAGACCAGCATAATGTTGTAAAATAAGTTACCTTCATAAATGCATTTTGGTAAACTATAAATTTCTCAAATATTCACGTAGCCTCAGACTATAAACCTTAAATGATCAAATACATTTTTTTCTATGTGTTGTTTCGTGAACAGCAGTCAAGGGAATGCGTAGTTTGCGTGTTTGGTATATCATTGTTTCTACGTACGCATACAAAAGTAAACCTGGCCAATTGATAGGCTCCTAATTATCATTGATATGCAACAACATGATTTTTAAACCTAATACAATTATTTAGCACGTATTTCATACCGAATATCTCCTGAATAACAACTGAAGGACATTTTTCTTTTCGTGAATATTGGATATCGAATATAACATGCCCCACTTATCTTAAATTGAGATGCGTCCAAAATATTGTTAGAAATAAGAAGAAAGTTTTCTGACCACCCCCTTTTTGGCAAAGCACCGTATGGCATTTGGTTATTGGAATACCTGGCTGAGTTTCAGGTGTGGATTGTGATGAGTTCAATTAAAACGTAAAATGGGATTTAAGTGAAAAAATAATGTCAGATCTTTACCCCCGATCTGATTGGTCTTGAAAATAGCATCTGTAAGAGACTTTTGAAGTTAAAATAGTTTTTTATGTGTATTTTGATACCATCTTGGCAAATGTTTTAGTCTCAATCAATGCAAAAATTTCATAGTTGGAAATAAATTGACTCTTATCTAAGAGGAACCATATGCAAATGGTAAATTGCAAAAAATTAATTTTTGTGATGTTAAAGTTTAGGCCTCTATGTAATATATCCTACATATAGTTCTGTTTTGTCAAACGATTCCAAGGCCATTGGTTGACGATATTTTAGTCCCAAACCATTGGCGCCCTTTTTTGCTGTCGCCTCGTTTAAGGTTTGATGTCTAGTACACTGGTATGGCAATGGATGTGCCTCGAAGCATTTTCCCGGATGGAATGGAGTCAATATTTTTGAATAATTTAAAGCTATTAAGGGCTGATTTCACAAAATTGAGGTTGCCCATGGAGCCATCGGATCTTAGGTTTGACTTTCCATTTACTTGATACACTAGGGGTACTTTTCGGTCCTTTCAAAAGCCAGCATTAGCTGAATTGATCGGGTTTTTATTGAGCAAATTGGACCCTGAGCGATATCGACATACCGTCCGGTAGTCCATATTTCATCTCTTACTTGGTAGCTCTATGTTGTTGACATATAATAGAGCTGTCGATAATCGGCTTAAGAATGTATTCTTTGTGTGGATAAAGGAATTACCAATGGTTGGTACTTAATGTCTTCTAAAAGTCCGAAGGAGTTAGGTCTGTCTAGGAGCTTTTCAAGAGTTTGGAGCTGTCCATGCCCTGAGAGCATGTGTAAATTTTTCATGATTTTGTCTACTTATGTTGTACAAAAAGTATTTGGAATCGGTAGGGGTTTTTCTGATTTCTTGACTGTTAGAAATAAACCGTGGTCACGAAAATGCTATGGTCCGCATAGTTGATGAGAAAGTGCGCGTTTTTTTACGAAGCCTTTCATCGATAGAAACGATGTCCCTTTCACTAAAGAGGTTTGTTTTCTTAAACGCGATTGAGTCTTCTAGGCTTTCGTCACAAGCAATGCCATATGACGGCAGCGTCTCCTACCCCAATAATCAGGTCTATGCTGATTGTTTAAAATATGTCCAGTGTTCAAACCCGTAAGATACTTTTGAAACTCTGAATACCCACTGTGTTACAGCTGTGTTGACGATTTCCTTCAAATGCTGTCTTCGTTTCAAGAGGAGCGCTATAATACTTTGGATAATCTCAAGACTGCCTTCTCTGAATGTCTCTCAGAATGGTGCTCACTGCGTCCTCTCTACTTCGCTATTTTGTCAATCGTTAAAAACCCCGTTGTTATTCGTGCAAAAGAACTGGATTTCCCCCCACCAGTGGTACCTTCACGTTAATGCCGGTAAATTAACGACTTCTTATATTTTAGGAACACAACATTGATGACATTGGCCTTATGAGCCTCTCCCAGTAAGTGCTTGTTATTTAACCATTGGGCTAATTCATTAGTCGGAGTCTTCCTTTTCATTTTTTCGTTTAGGTTTATAAAAACGAGTGGTGACTTGTTCAGGAGTGCACAGGCTTCTTTTAACCGGACTGCCGATGCTGCTTCCTCTTCGTCGGAGTTGTCTTGGTGCTCGCGCTCTTTATCTCGGTTGGTTGAATCAAATAACTTAAGCAAAGGGAAGAGGCGCGTTAGCACCCAGGATATCTCACAACGTTTGGACACCCTAATAATTGACCTCAAAAAATTGATATCTGCTGAAAAAGAGAATTTGTGAGTTATGTACTATCTTATTCTGGTCAACGAATTTTCCTGGCAAAATAGGTGTCGGATTGCAAGTGTTCTTAACTAACCACAAAATCTAATCTTTGATCGGATGCTATACTGACGTGTTTAGACAATTTTGATCATATGTAAATCGTTTTGCCAATCAAACACGTCATTTTTAATTTTAGTCGAGATTGATTCCGCAAAATTTTAACAGGAATTACCTTTCTCTAGAGCATACACAGACGACTTGGCCGCGGAAAAATCAAGTTCATCCCAAGCGGCCTCTGGCAACTCCCGTATTCTCGGTCGTCTGCGCTCATCATCCATCAAAACCGGTAAGGTTTTTACCCATGCACGATGCAAAATAAGGATTCAATTCACATGTTTGATGTTTTATAATATGCTTTTAAGGGTTAATGCAATCTTTAAATTGATCCAAATGTATAGTTATATTTGCTACCTGGTCTTTTACAAGTTTTTGCTTTATTCTATTCCACTGAAATTCGTGAGTCATTTCCTTTACACAATGTCTTTTCGTCCAATGCACTTCCAATTTAGTTTTATTTGCTTTCGCAATCGAGTATCGAGACCGCATTCTATACCGTTGAAAAGGGGGTATCATGTTACTTACACATATTAAGTAGCTGATTCGTTCTTCAGAACTTGCACATTGATCCCTAACTGACTGCTCCTTCCTGATTGCCCATATCTCAAACTGGATTTTTTCGCCCTCGTCTTTCTTATTTAAAAAATTCGGCGCAGATACAAATTCTGTGTCCATAATTTGATGAAAATTTTTCCTAAAGAAAACTTCGAATCAGATCGGAATGAGATTAAATGGAGTTCATATTCCTCCAAATTATGATTCCGTGTTTTGGGAATTAGTCTGACGTGTTTTGTGATTTCATAAACCTGATCTCTTTCCTAAGTGATCCGACGTTTCTCGTTATTTTAACGTAATCCTGATATGTGTTGACTATCGTGTGCAGCAATCATGACAGGTTTGTAATGTAGGTCATCCGGCAGAAACTGTTGTGTTTGAAGTCAGCTGCGATTCCTTTGTCACTCATGATCTTGCTGTGGCTTGCTTAACTTCAAGGACTTTGGTTAATCCATCGTTGTCCTCCAATTTTTTTCCATGTAATCTTTCACATCAAGTACCCAAAGGCATCCTGCACGTGCAGTCTCCCACTCAAATAACCAATTAATCAAGTTTCTATTAGTACAAGTAGATGTGACGTCACTTGTTATATGCAATCAGCATTACGTGCCTACCCCTATATTACTTATTTCCAAGGTTGACCAACCTACTGCACATGAATGTTCAGTGCAGTAGTGGTTGGTTTATGTACATGACCTCCCCCTGTAGTTCTCCCTTCCCTACGTACCCACCCTTTCCACACTTTTTTCTGTTGAAGTTCATTTGTGTGCCATAACATCAATAACGTGAAAATATAGGTTTTTTGCTCATATCCAGAACACGCTCAGGGGGACCAATTTGCAATCCCTTGTCTTGCACAAGGTCCAGCTCAGAAACAGGACGAGAACTCGTTCAAAAAGTCTGCGTACAAAGTCGATGTCAAGTGTGCTTATATGCGTGTGAAAAGCGGTGTGCCGTGACTGTGGAGTAGTGGTCGTGTGGACCGACCTAAGTATGTCGAAGTCACAAAGCTCAGTGTTAATTAAGTTGCCATGGTTAATGTGGACATCCCCAGCAGAATGGGACCGCGGTTATTGTCAGTAGTTGTTTCACAGCCACCTATATCTTAACTAACCAAAAAATCGCCGTTGACAATTAATTTAGTCCTTTATTACGGTAATTAGTGCATTCGTTTCTTTGCAGCCAACCTATCAAAAAGTGCGGGTGAACAAGTTAGTCAGAGTAAAACTCGAGCGATTCCACAAAGCCCAATTTTTTGTCTTTGATATTCCTCTACCTGGCATACGATTTGAGGAATTTCTTCTCAATTCTGACCTCTCCAATAGGCTTATAATACTCGAGCTCGGTATAGCAGTTTTCGTATCTCAGTATTGGACCGCATCCTAAACAACACGGATTTGCGCCATCTGCCTTTGATCACAACCAATAACTCCGTATTGATGGTGCTTTGAAAAATGCTCAACTTAGCCTTCATGTAGTCTTAGAGTCGACCTTTTGTATTGACTGTGTGTGTGTGTCTTAACTTTACTGACGACACAGCGGCTCTATTGCAGGATGAACTTGACATAAGGCATCATAAACCCAGGGCGTTCGTGTTTTTCAACTTGAAAATTTTATCGTATATGCATCTAGCTGGCGGGCACAAGGCGACAAACAACTCATTTCGGTTATGTTTTTTTTTCTTTTTTAGCGTATTTTTTTTGCTTGAATGCCGTAAAACTGACACATTCTTTTCAACTTTTTGGTAAGACGTTTTGAGCGTTGGTGAAACGTCGTTAGGTGAAATGACAAGCATCGTTCAATAAGGTGGCTTGTCACTTTTGCAGCTGTGCTGCCACTTAACAGACTTGTCAGCTGATTAACCCAGCGGTGCGTTTTGACCTGGCGCCTGCAGCCAATGCCTGATCCCACTTTAGTGTGGGAGAGACAAACTTTCACAGTATCATTATTCTCGGGAAATTTCAGTGTTCATATTGCATTGCTCTAAAATGAAGCGTCCAGTGAATTGTGCTCCAGTTGTGACGAGAAAATTTGTTTGTGTTGGCATTAAATGCGGCTGAAGTTCGAGCGCAACCCAAGTGCAAATTGGTAAACCTTAGCCTAAGTCAGTCTACTAATTTTCGTAAAATCATGTGCTTGACTTGAGTAAATATAGTAATTTTATGGCAGTGAGTGTTGGGAACAGCTGAATTCCCGGGAAATAATTGCAACATGGTGGATCCACTGTGTGGAACAACACTCGCGACACTGAAGTCATTTGGCACTGGCATTTTTGCTTAGAGAGTAAGTTAAGTGGTACTGCATGGGCCATGCTGTTATCATTAGATTACGTTTGTTTCAAAATTTGCTAAGCTTCGTGGGGGTGTGGATTTTCGCGGCCTCACAAATTTGGTCGTAAAAAATAGAAACTTCCTGATTGACCTTAAATTTGCCGAAATATTTTCACTTTTAAACCTTTGTGTGATTCCGTCTTCGTGCTAACTAACTTTGGCCTGCATAAAAATAATGCAACCCTAAACACGTAACTAGAGGTACGCGCTTTTTTCCTGCCCTACTCAACACGCATTCTGGTTTTTTGTAGCGAATGCTTGTAGGTGTTTTGTTTTCGTGACAAGATGTCGAACTGGTAAAATGTAGGTGGGAGGAAGAGGGCAAGGGAACTTCATATCTACTTTGTAGTCCATGCGCTCGTACCTCGCTGCTAAGCGGCGAGAAGCTTGTCAATTACTGAGCCCCCCCCCTTGAGCGGTTTAGAAGGCATTCGGACTCGGAATCGGTCCCAGTAAGCTTGGTTCCTACTTTAATCGTTTAGTATAACGGCAACGGTATGCATTAAACCTTTTTCTGGTAGAATGTTATGATAAACCCTGCGTGGTAAATAACGTTCTACATTTTTTAGATTATTGAGATTGCTATTGATACGTGTTTCATTTAGCAGACTGGAGCTCCGAAATTTTTCCGTGACTCTTTGCCCAGTTTTTCAGATATTTAAACCTGAAGTACAGCGGCATTAGTGGCTTTTTCCCAGTCGCATGTCTACCGTCTTTGTCTAATGCCAATAGTTCTTGTGATTAATTCGAATCAAATTGTTTGATTTTAATCCAGTGTCACTTAGTTCCGATTTTCTTTGTTCATAGCCAGAGAATCCACTCATTACTTTGCATCATTTGACAGATCTACAGGTGCACGGTCAGGGAATGTGTGTAGTCGCACTTTAGGACTAAGACGAGGATTCACATCGGTAATTTCAACTTCCCAAACTGTTCGGTCTGTAGCAATTTTACAAACCTGCTTTCACCTCCAGCTGTATTGGTCCTCTCGTGTGATGATTGTGCATCTTTGAGATGTTGGGGGCGGGCAGTTGTAAATACAAGGATAGTTTTCGAGTGGTTAGGATCAGTACTTTAACCCATAGTGTAGGCATTCCTTTTCGTTCTGTGGTTTGGTATCACGCTGTCAATTTGGGAAGCTTAATTTTGCATATTTGTCACCAGAATCTGTTATTATTCTGGTGTGGTGGCTATATTGTTACATCACTGATTGCGAACACTGCAATTTATTTCCCATTGTACCATTTCTGCATTTTAGATTTCATTGTTACTAGTACCTTGCATACGACCTTAATTGACGATAAGGAAAAGGCAAATGTTCAGTGCCCTTCTAGGGGGTTTATCAGATATAAGAGTTGTGTTTTGTTAGACCCCCCGTCTTTTGAGGACTGGCGGCTTGTTTTTAGGCCCTATGACTCACGATTGCCTAGAACTACTTTAGAGGTTTGTTGGAGGAAAACTTGAGGCGTTGCGGTTCTACCCTCTTCCGGTGCCGCGGCATGCATCCTCACAAGACTGATTTCACCATTTAAGTAAGCGTTTACGATTGTTGCTGGCCTTGGCAGTTCAGTTTAACATCGCTGAGGTGGCACACCTTTCTCCGGCCAAATGTGCCCTTTCCTAGTAATCCAGCCCTCGGTATATCCCACTGAGGACCGGCCATAATTTTGGTTTCGTCATTCCACTTGTTTTTTACCATTGATCGGCACTCTTGGTTCCTTTTATCCATAAACACCCTTTGAAGTATCAAAGAAGCACAAATGTTACGTAATGGATTGTTTGGTGATTTTGTGTTCATTCAGAGTGGTTAATTACAGATTATGTTACATTCTTAGTTATAATATTTGCTCACTTCGAAGCATTTGCTATTGCACTACTCAGCTACTCACGCTTGCCTAAGATCGAACCGCTTTTTATTTACCACGAGTTGTTAATGTTGCCGAAACTAGGGTAAGCTGTACAAAATTTGACGTTATTCTGAATAATATATTTTTGTGCAACTATCATCATTAGCTGCTATATTTCGTCAAAATTATCATTCGGCCAGCATTATTTTCAGCATCTACTCGAGTCACGATCCAGCCTAAATTCGTCACCGCATAGGCACCAATCAACTAGCTAAATGCTGCTGTCTGATGCTCACTTAGTTGGTAAATTGAGAATTACCGTCGCCTTCGCATCCAAGTGTTTTCGCCTGAATTTCTCTTGCGGTAACGTACAGCACTGGGTTTTTCATTCTCGTTTGTTGAGGTCACTTTAAAGGCTGTTCGAACGGCTCAGCGCCATGGCCGGATCACCCTAGCAGAGCAAATGACCAGCCCAAGGAAATGCACACGCCGCAATTGAGCTCTTTCAACAAGAAGCGCCTTACCACAAAAGCGTCCGTTTACACCACTTTTTATCTCGTCGAATTCAAGTCAACGTGAATTGCGGTCGGACGCATCTAAGTGGGTGGGCAAACTTATTATGCGCCATTAAATTGCACTGTAGGTGGACCAATTTCTACCACCGGGGGCGCTCGACCGAGAAAATGCGAAGCAAGGCACAGTGGAACACCTCGCATTCTGCCACCACTGGAACCGATCCGGCTTATTGCCATGCGTGGTGAATGCTCTTATCTTTCTGGTTTCTTAGTTTACAGACCCGCTGTCTTGTGGCTTGCCATGCCTGTGATGCTTCATCATATGTCGCGCGTTTCTAGACGAGTAGTCAATGCAGGATCTATCAGTCAACCTAAAATACTTCGAAGTTGTACTCGCTTCTTAATATGGCGCACTTTCCGCTTGGTCCTGCCGACGCTGACTTTGCAAGCTACATTATGTTTCAAAACATCAATTTCTTCCAAGTATTAAAATTTACTAGGCATCCTCATTCTCTAGGGTGTAAAAAGGGTTTATCTGAATCAAATGTATTTGCAAATCAAAACAACATTATCCAGCAAAATCCTTTGCTAATTGTGGAATGCCAGCCGTTTGTTATGCGCCTAGTAACGTGGTGTACTAAACTGCAAAAGCTTTCCTATGATGTAATATGTTCACTTCTAATATTGGGAAGTTGTAACTGGGTCAACATGAATAGGTGGTGAAATACGCGGATTTAATTCCTTTCACAGTTTGTTACAATGCTTTTTTGTGAATTTCAACTATCGCGAAAACTCATCACATTCAGCATAATTTTGGTTGTTAAAGACGGGCTAAGCATAAATTCAAAGCAGAACAAAATCCCTTACACGCATCCTTGCTCACGCCCAGTTTCGTTAAGCGAATATGAAAAATTTATAACTCGGATATCTGAACCAGAGCCTCGGACTGTTTTGCGCACATTCTTGTATCGTGCGTAGCCCCTCCCAATGTTACGCATATTTGGACCTTTGTATGTATCCTTGCAGTTGTGTCTTGATTATTGCTATGAGCCTAAAACAAAGGTGCACTCGCCTGATCCGCTATCCGTTGCGCTCTTGCATTTTTTCGGAGCTTACGTTCTCCTGACCCTCATAATTTCCTGTTTGTTGTAGAAGGTTTCAGGGTGAGGCCTTTGAAAAATGCAACTTCGTCCCTCCGTGCAACACCAAAACAGATTCAAAGACCCCTTATCTGTCCACCCATTGTTGAAAATCAGTGTTCCACCTCCTCCGTTAATTTGCCTGTCGTCAAGAGTGAGTTTCGTGTTAAAGTTTACTTTGGTCTGGAGTATCTTAGATCATCCGGAAGACAACCACTTTGGTCTCCTTTTTAACCAGACTGGGGGTTGTAGTGCTATACTTCTCAAGTATTGTCTGTGTTTTGTATCACACGAGATATATTAAGGAAATCTGAGCCAGTTCTAGTCATGGACTGATTTTTTCGGTGCTACGATCACGTCTGGCGTTTTGAAGTTATTCGTGAGTCAAGATTCACGAAATTCCGAAAACCACTGGATCCAGCCTTGTTTCATTTTCTACTTTGGTGCAGGTCAGCTGTTGATTCTACCATGTTGAAGTCGAGGCACATTTACGGGAGGGTGGAGCAGAAAGATCCTTGCTGCTTGTGTTTTTTGGGGTTATTTGCTGCTTAAATGTTTTGATTTGCGGACGGGTGCATTATCTTGAAACAGGCTTGAACGTTTTTTGGGTGTCAAGGCGCAGGGAAAACCCATTGCGGTATTTCCTATACGTAGCGTTGCTGTGGATGCCAAAACACAAGCATGCCTGTCTCATCATGGTTGGTACCAATTTAAATCACTAAGGTCCTGGGATGCTCCTGCACATACACTGGTGAGTTACTTGGGGCATTTCCGTCTGGCGTGCCCATTGACATTACCCCATTGGTAGAGCGGTTACTTTAAAGTTTGAGACAGAGAGATCCATGACACGTTGAGCAGCTTCCACCCTCTGTGTTCCTTGTTTTCTTAGTACTTGCGACTCTACAATTAGTGAGCATTTTTTCACTAACTGTAGAGGGTTCCCAGATTGTATTCTTTTAACCTGTAGCAGGTCTTTGAAATGCACAAAGTGGCCTGTAACAAAACCCATAAGACCGAATAAAACTAACAATCATGCTAATTTGTGGTTTTGTGTTTTCTTTTCGTTGTTTGTTTGGTAATTCTGGACTCATGCGTCTCAAAAAACACAAACGTTGCCTACTTAATCCAACGGCTCAGTATATTCACTGGGTTAATCCGATAATTACTTTTGCGAAGCAACAATGCACTGGGGTATTTGTTAAGACAAGTCGAATATTCCCAGTGGTACCTCCCATTAATTCGGTATTAGAGAAAATTAACATTGTTTGATAAAATGCAATCAATCATACCTGTTATATTCAAAACGATTTCCCAGCCTTTTAAGTTTTTGAGGAGGCGTATTAACCTACACTTTTGTCACAAGTAATCTTAATGCTCTCCCTTCACTAATTTTGACTCATTAGGTTTCTGTTTGTTGAAAGAGTCGTGTTTCTGCAATGAGCTTGGATCGAAATGTATTCTGCATTTTTGAAGAGATTTTTTTTCACTGATATTTGCCCCTGGGGTGTGATGGTGTGGACACTATTTTTTTGGTTTGTCGATGTGCTTCATTATGCTGTGCTACTTCTGTGCGCGATTTCTTAAGTTGATCATCGGAGTGCAATAAATTCCACTCCATTAAGCGTTTGATGGGTAGTATAATTATTGATGAAGATCAAGGTAAATACCTCTGTACGTAGTCAACAGGGGGTGCTGTAGTTGACGTAATTGACCAAAGCTTGGTGTGATGGATAGCAGTGACACAACTAAGTTAATCTTTAAATTACTGCTAAGATGTTTTGTTAATATCGCGAAAGCTTGTAGTTTAATCCTTATTAGGTAAAATCCTCACTAGCTACCCTGGTTTTTGACACTACAGGCATCCACTTTTCCTTATACGAATTTCTTATAATGTTGCAACTCGTGTTTGAATAAATGTAGGCCCCTTATGGTTGATTTTCATCAAACTCGTACTTATCCTTGTAATTCCTTTTGCAGCTAACAAAGTATCAAGCTCACGAGCGCCACTGATGCCACTCCGCGTGGATACTGAAAGCTCCGCACAATTTAACCTGCTTTCGCCACCAAAAAGCCCTGTCTTCGATTCACTCATGGAAGCATCGACCAGCTCGGGTATGTTTATTGGTTGATGGCATTCGTCAGCATCTACTTCAACCTCTTATCCCCAAACGGTCGGTTGTTCTCAAGTGACTCATCCACACATGTAACTCAACTAGGCAACATCGTCTGGCTGGTTGCTAAACCATCCTCACTAATCTCACTGTCGCCATCCCCGCATCCGGTGTATTCTTTTGCCAATCGGGACCTCCAGCCTTTTGTTTCGATCTCAAAACCACGACATACCCTCGTTGTTTATGCCAATCTGGATGTCAATGTAGCCAATACACCAGTGAGCAATCTCAACTTCGTTGGTGGCTGGACTTGGTGCGGTTGTAGGCGTCAGCTAACACTGAAATCAACCAATGGGCTTGTGTCGTGTCCTGCCCCAGTCCCCCGCGCGATTCGCATACCCCGATCTTCGCGCGTGGTTAAGCTGAGGCACTCTGTGAAGGCGATTGCCTAATTTTTCTCCGGCACTTAATTCACTTCCCTTTTTGTAAAACTTGGTTCAATCGTTTAGTTGTTTAAGCAAATCGTTCAATTAACTTTTTCAATTTTGTCCAGACTATTGCTACTTTCATCACAACTTGGCACTGGTAGACAAGGTTAAGGGGCTGTCGTTTGTTCATGCCGACTACTCTTTAGACCCGTTTTCGACCCTATTGTGTACATGGACGGCCTATCAGGTGCTTTTGTGCCTATCCCATTTGTCGCAAATTGTGACTTTCCTCCTATGATTTCAAAAAAACCACATTTTGTGATAATTTCTTCCTATTCTGCTACGGATCTGTTCGGAATGAGCACTTCTATTTAATGTCGAATTCTTTGGGATTTGTCGAACCTTGTTAACTGCGTACTTTTCTCAGTAACGGAAGACACTTTCACCAATCCACTGTGCTCTACTTCAAGTAAACTCGCGCTATTTCAATTACTATCTAACCTTATGGCCGGTTTTCATGTACTTTAAATGTATTTCCTAGCATTGGCTTTTTTGTCAATGTCAATAACACTAGTCTTATCACGCGGCGGTTCAAACTGTTTAAACTGTCCTCTTTCACGAGTTCTTAGCCTGCTTGAATAACTGAGTGTTACTGAAAATTTGCAACTTTCTTAGCATATCCACGTGATCACACATAAGCCAGTCCGTTCGGTATGAGAACACTTTTTATCTTGCCTCTGTAAGCCTCGCCTAATCGACACTGCAGCAACTCGTGCCCTGGGCAAATTCGTATTTCAGTTCTACCGCTTCTAGAGACCCATGCCGCAACATTTCAGAGCCCGCTTTAGCTGGCTTCGAAAAGTGTCATTTGTAATGACACTCACTTTACTATCCAGAAGTGACTAAAGTTACTATGCGCACAGATATTTTCCGTAAAGTAGCCTTTTGAAGAGCCAAATTGCTTGTCATTACTGACGATCGGTACCCGTGTACCTCTGCACCGAAGACTTTCTTTCTTAAACACATCTCTGATTGAAACACAATTGCCTGCACCAAAACTTGCGCTTGTCAGTGAGGCCTGTAACGCAAATCGCTCCGCTGCGAGTAAATGTTGTCGCATCATATTATTCCGCGCTTGCGGTACTTCCTAATTAACACTGCACTTTGAGTACATCTCTTTAATTGCAGCAGATACGTCCAGTCACTTCATTCCATTCAGTTGCATTGCTCCTCGAAATTAGTGCTGGTTTATATGTATCCATCCATGCCATTGTTCACCACCTGTTGAGTATGCTTTTATGACAATAGGCTGGATTACTATTTGTGCGTGTGTGTGTATATGTGCACTGTGATTCACTGTAAAATTGACCTAATTTTCACTTTTCATCCGTCTAACAGTTGCTCGAATTTCACCTTTTGATTACCAGGCGTGTCCTAGATAATTTAATCCGCGTGTGAATTTTTCTCCCCACAATCCACACGTTTGACTTTGTACAAACTAGAAAATTAAATCCTGGCCAGTGTTGGCGCGCATTTAGCCCATTCTTGCCTCGGAATGGCGGATGTTCGCCAAGTCAAATTTCACACATTTGAACTGCACCTGTATTCCTCATTATTGTTCTTACTACATCTCATTACAGAGCATTGCTGGTGTGTCCCCAGCAGGAAATTGTGAATGCCCATTTATTTGTCTCTGACGGAAGTCAACAAAACTGGGTCACTTCCGGTTGTTAGTAGTGGTTGGGTAAAATTTCGCCCATGTATCGATACTCACTTTTACCGGATTTTCCTCCACAAGTCCATGAAATTAATTTCTAGCCGAACCAAAGGAAGACGTTGCAAATGCGGTTGTCTTTGTTTCGCTAATTCATTGTAATTTGGTCTACTTTAGTGTCGTTCGACTACGCATTGCTTAACGAAAACTCTATCGAGCAGGACGAGGATGAGGAAGTGGTGGAGGACGAGGAAGAGTTGGAGAGTGAGGAAGAGGTGGAGGTGGAGGGTGAGGAGAGCTTTGGACTACTCAGCTGTGAGCCATAAATTGTTTTATGTGGTTTTCATGCTCTTCTTTGTTTCAGTCCTCTTTTTGGTGTGTGGCTTTTACCTCGCGTATCTGGAGCTGCCCGGCACTCACCCAGTATGGAAATATATGTTTTGAACCGCAGCCCCAGCTCTTGGTCAATTCTGCAAAAATAGTTAACTTATTAGGGTTTTTTAGGCTCATTGAGGTGTCCGCGTCACATCCCTGCTTTAAATCATAGCAACCTGAAGTACACACAAATGGCATGTCATTGAACCCGGTTCTAGCTGGTCACGCGCAGGAAGGTCTCGAATGCACGATGCTTGGCTGTTGCCAGGTAGAAGCTAGCGCCTTCTCATCTTGCGTTAAAAAAATTTCAAGTTTTTCCTCAATCACCTCTCCCTTTCGTCAGCGCAACTTACCTCGTTTATCGCTGGCCACATCGTCCAAATTAAGTTCTATTAAAACGTAGCCAACGCATATTTCTGACAAATTGATGAAACCGTATTGGGTTTTGGCTTTGAACTGATCAAATTTTCTTCCCAGCACAGCGTACTTCTTTCATTTCAGTGACTGGGACTTGTTTGCCAGGGCGATTTAAAGACTCCACTTTGGTAAAGCCAGTGTGGATGCGCGGTTATGCACATTTGTCTGGGGTTATTTGCTTTTGTGCGTAGAGAATAAATGGCAAATTCGGGCGTTGTGCCATTTTATGGATGCCAAAACAATATCATTTTTCATTGTTTCAGTTGAGAACATGAGTGAACCTGCCTCAAAACTATTTACATCCGAATCAACTGGACCCGAAGACTGAACTCCGACCGTCTGTGTGCTTTTCGGAGGGACTCACGTTATCTGCTACATTGCACTGCACGCAAATTATGAGATCTGAAATTGTATTTCTTATGTTGTCTGTCAACGACTTATTGCTTCAAACCTCCATCGAGATTAGTGCCCCCATGAGTCAATTTCTAATTGACGGTATTTCTTTAGTTTGCTTTGTTGAGGCTGAGGTGTTTACTCGTTTGTCACAAGCCCATACCCTGAGAACCCAGTACGCTTCTCGGCCATCTGTTCTGTCGGCACACGATGTGAAGTCCAGGTTCAGAGTTTCAACATCTAATACTACAACCCGGTATGAAGTATTGTGAAAGAAGGTCGGAGGCATTGTGCTGGATTTTTCTTTCGACTTTCTCATTCAGTCAATTGTTGGGTCTCATGTATCACAAGTAGTTGGACATCGTGCAGTCAAGACTCGAGACGCCGTCTAATACCGCACTTTGGGCAACTACAGGAGAAAGTTTAAACGCTAAGTACCTGATGCCTCGTGAGCATGCTTTGGTGGGTGCTTGAGCCTAACCGACGTTGACGTGAGCCAATCCAAGGTGCGGTGTTTTAATTTGGCTGCAGGGTTTCGTGCGTTAGAAGTGACCGCCTTAGTGTTCCTCCATTTGGCACCGCAAAATGGCTTTCCTTTAAGTGCCTGGGTTCTAATTCATCTGTCCCCCACAACTCCCGCCACATTTGCACTTTAAAAGATGAGAGTGCTGTCGCGAGATGGAGTGTGGGTTATGTTTAACAAGTCACGAACCACAAATAATTACCCACTAAATGCCGAGGAGTCAAGTCTGGATAATTTATCGCCCTCTTGCCAAGTCAAATAAAGGACACTAAGTGGCTGAGAATTTATTCGGTCACTCACTGCTTTCACGTTTTTGCAGCCCAAAAACGCGTTGTCTGCAGTCTGGTTGCGGACGACGCGTTTAGTGTGATTAGGTCTTAGTTTTGCTTTCGTACGGCGACGGCAAACAACAACAACAGGATGCCATCCCTGGAGTGAGTAGATGTGAATAACAAATGTGTTCGTATTTGCAATTCGTTCTACACGCAGATGCCTCACTAACTCCGGAATTACAGTAGAACATGGACCCGAATATTTGAGTAATTGGAAAAAATTCAATTACTCAACCTAAACACTTCCAATTGGAAAGACGCCGCCCCAATTAGGCAAGCCAGTAAAACATGATTTAGTTAAATAAAAGTTTCGTGTTCATCAAGGAAACCGTTTTTACGGAACTGTATTTCTGATTGCCACACTCCTTTTGTCATTGCTGTGAGGTTCAAATCCTACGAAAAGTGAATTAACCGAAGCGAGTACACACCTTGGTCGTCAATAGAAAGTAAAAGTTGGACGTTGAAAAAAATGGAACTTACCACAACACGGTTAGTTGCGGTAGGAAATAGTAATCCACGACGAATATCTGCACAGCCAATACAAATCACCTTACCCCACATTCAGGATATTTGTTTCCCCACGAAACTATCCCCAGAGGGCAATTACCGCACAACGTCCGTCAAACCAACGGCTGAGTCGCCACTCATTATGCTACCTATTACCGGCCATCCCGATAGATTTTCTGCTTTTGCGTATGTCTGGGCATTTGTTACGTGGGGTATGAATAGTAATATTTCCCACAACGGCTGGGTATACGTATTTAACAAAGGCCAAGCAAATGTAGTGACCAAAAGTTAGTCATATTTTAGCCACATTAAACGCTTGGCAACATTGCAGAAAAGCCTGGATTAAACAGTTCTCAAACAGTCGTGAGTTTGGTGTAATGAAGGTTCTCAACAAATCAAATTCCGCTGATGAACCGGTGTGCAATCAACAGAGGCTCCGGTTTTTTAAATAAAGTGAAAAAAACTGACTTCGCAACTGATTATGAAAGAGTTTAAAATAGAATAGCAGGGAAAATATTTTGCAAACGTGCTATGAGAACATGCTTCGTCATTTTTAACAACAATCTACACCAGTATTCCGACCATATTTTCAAGGTTTCTTTGTCTGGAAATGAAGCAGACTAGTCCAACAGATGGCAAGGCATTGTATGTGCTAAAACTAGACAGAGCGTTATTGGTGCTATACACCAGTTTTAACTATATTAGTGCAGCCATGATGTAAGTAAATACTAGCTTGAGCATTTATAAGACCACATAATATTTGAAAATACAACATTAATGACCACGGAAAAAATAAATTTGGGAGCGCCAATGCAGTTGAAATAGTAGAGTCGTTTTCTAGCTTGTTATATGATTGTAAATGCTTCCAAAGTAATGTACTTTAAACAAAAATCCCTACATACAGGCAGGCCCCCGTTACATCCGGACAAAATATTATTGACAAAAGTTGGAGGAGTTAAAGTCCAGTCTTGTCCCACGGTCAAAAGCACTTGCTTCCCCTTCTGGGTGACTGGTTAGATTTCACAAAACTATGTGGGTGGACCAACGTACTAGTGAGCTAAAGTATTACCTAAAAACACACACCGATAATGCATATCACTGAAATTGCTCTATAAAATTGGGTCTGCAGGGGAGAAGATAGGAAAAGCATTTTACTAGGACAATCAAGGACGTCAATGAGATAATGTAGGATTGCACAGATGTAACTGACAAGGAATGCGCACTTATTGGTCATAAGCATGTAAATTTACATGCACGTGAAGGGATAATTAAAGAATAAGCAGGGAGTCACACTGTCCTGAATTCATCGAATAGAATAGGGGATTGGTTAAGATCTTTCTTCTGGTTTAAAGTCGACTAATATCATACAACCAACAAACAACACAAAGTCGTAAGTGAATGGGACGTGGTTCGTTGGTCGATGCAGTACATGTTGGACAAGGAAAGGCGCATTCAAGAAAGCAAACATTTTGTTCCGGGAAAATCTCTTCCCCTCCCCCCCAGGTCATGACGATCGATTGCTGGAGTTGTCGGTGTTTTCCAGGGAATTAGCGGCGCTCTGTGAAGGTTGTTGCAATACTGGACTGGGCGCTGACCAAGGGGGAACTTCTTCATTGCCGCTTCTAAGAGCCCATTTATCATGGGGACCTCCTCTGGACTGTGGAAAAGTCGACGAAAGACTAGACGATTCATTGGAATCAATTGGGTAACTTCCATTTATACTACTGGCACCCCTGAAAAGTAAATAGAAAAACCCACATTTAACAGCCGGCCGCCTTTCAACAAGAGTAACCGCGGCACCGACCAGATCGTAGGAGACAAATATCACAAGCAAATCACCTGGATTGCAGACAAACGCCAAGAAAAACATGTCCCAACGTTACGTCAACAGCTACTGTATGGGTCAAAAATATTGCAATTTTTCTTAGGTTAAACCCAGTAGCTTTGCCAACGTCGATTACATAAAATCCACAATAGTCCTGACTATCGCTCTCAAGCATATTTCGTTCTTTGTAAAACTTCACACCCTTATTAAGACTCGGTAAATTATGATAAAAGCGAATTACACAAGATAACGATTTTACGGTTATGCGTAAGACGGCCATACCGTCTTCAGCACATATTTACAAAATACAGTTATGATTTACCAAAAATTATTTCTCGGATGCAAATTGTGTGAGGAAATATCAAAAGGTGCTTTATCGAGTCCCTTAAAACAAAATGACGTTTATTGAGGCTATAATTGTCAAACACCTCGTTTCCCAAGTTTGTTATTATGTACAAACAACGTGCGCGCTTTCCCAGGAAATTCACACAACGTTGTACTAACAATCAAATTCCAAATCAATGCAAAATAAAAAATGGGTTTTAAGGGGTTTAAATTTGCAAAAAAAACACTTTTTACATAAATCGTGTGGTATTTGAAGTTGTGAAACGTGAATCCATTGTTTTGTGTATGTTTAAGCGCGTTTTAAGTAGGTCATTCAGTGCTTCTGAAATGAGAAATTCAGTCGTGTTGCAGCACAGAACGACGAGTTGAAGGTGGTGTTGAAACAGCATGTACAACTTTCGCCGCTTCCTGTATTTTTTGAGGTGGAGTAAGTCGCCAACCGATCGGGAGGTGGAAATCGGCATAAAGGAGAGAGATTTGATGCGACAAATCACGTTCTAGCGAGACCAAAAGTAGTGCTTACTCACGATCCACTTCGAAAACACTGACCCACCCACCGCAAATGCCGTGCCCGAACCACACAACTCCAGAACAAAGAACTTTGGTTTACATAATCTGCATGTGGAAGGCATCTGCAGGAATTCCAAGTATTCACTTAAAACATCATGAACGTCTGGCTTAAATGAATTGACGGAGCATTGTTGTTGAATGCCTTAACACCGCTAACACTAATGAAACGATGGAGCAAAAACACCCGTCAGTGAACAGCGCATTGCTTACCTACTTGCACACATAATGCCCCCTGTCTGTACCAGTTCTTTGATTGCCCCTTAGATGCTTGCTGTCCTCCCCACCATGCCCCCTTTCCAACCCGCATGTCGCAACCGCAACCCTGACGAGATAACAGACGGACTTTGCTATTATTTTAGTGTCTTGCCCTCTCACCACCCTCTGGACTTCGTGAGTAGTCACACGCTTCAAAAAACAATTGCCCTTCTACGATATAAATAGATGGAGGCAACCTGTAATTTTGAGGGATTTCAAACAAGAAGAATAGGCGATTTGATTTTCTACAAAGCAATGTTAAAACCCAAGAAACCCAAAACCCAAAGCTATAGCAGACACCATTTGCCCTATGTAATCTATAAAGAAGATTAGTCGTAGGCGGTGGAATACCAAATAGTAAAACCAAATCATAATGAGGGCATGCTTGTATATTCGAGACGGCATGTCAGACGATGAAATCCAAGCAAATATAATGACAGTTCAGCAGCAATTATTTGAAAAGGCATCAACATTTTTGTACATGGGTTCATGGTGGTGTGAAGTGTGACGTGACCCCTTAACTCTTGGTTAGTAGGTTTACTTCCGCTGCAAACAGACCACGAAATAACACTTGAATCTGGTCTGAGGCTTATTACACAGAGCGCACTCTACCTGCTGCAAAGAGACCATGCACTTTTCAGCAGTAGTGTATCCGTAAGCGAACTAGACTGAAGCGTCCCGCGTGTGAATTCAGCGCCTCCTTTTGATCCACAGGTGCACCAAAGTAAACGACAATTACAGCGCTACTGTGCAAAGGCTTCGTGGCCAATCGAATGCAAGCCCTTTAGGTACAAGCTGAGTGCTGGTCTATTACAGTTGAACAATTATGGTGAATTTACGAAAGTTTGGTAAATGCATTTTATGAAAAATTTTTTGGACCGCACTATTCACGTGCCAATCGGGCCAGTGATGGACAATTAAACAATAAGAGGCAAAAACACCGGGCAAATTGAGTATCGGAATGTAGCTATACTACAGAAGCCGGTAGTCTGCAGAGCCACTGGTGCCATGGTAACATACCTTTTCTCAGAAGTGACGGCCACTGAAACGAAAAACAGGAGAGATTATTTAGTGATAACTTGGACGAGACCTGACAACAAAAGTGGACGAAACAACACACGACAGGAAACTAAGTTGTGGCATAGGTTTCGACATAAAATTGATTCTAAAGGGAAGTCGCATGCAACGGAGGAAAATCCCAACGACAATTAACGAAAAGTGCGATGAAAGTAACGAGTAAATTCGTGCATGCGGTGACTTTCTGGCAGGTGGCTCAGACCACTTAGCGCACTTCCCAAACTTGCTGGGTGTTTATCACACCCAACTGTTGCCGAATTGCGGCATAAACAGTAAGTCGAACTAGGCAAATTCTCGCTTAGGGACTCATGGCGTATGCAAGACCAGGAATTCTAATGCGAGTAAATTCTCTGGTCATTGGGCATCACAAAAACAAGTGGGGAAAAACAGAATTTGGTTTATAAAGTTTGGATTTAGTGTAATACCCTAGAAGCTAGTGCTCTGTAGAATTTGGACTTTGTATAACGTTCACCCTTCTTCGTGTTGATCCAGTGTAGGTTGATAGATGTGCAGGACTTTGCAGTCTGAATGGTTCAACAGTTAGTGCTTGTCCGAAAACCGCAACTGTATGACAATAGAAAACCCTTGCAGTCCACTAGGTTGTGAACAGCATGGCTAGTCCGTCTGGAGCAGCTGGTCATTTTGTGGGCCTGGAGCCCATCACGACTAAGCAAACTGTTACACATCAACCCTCTGCATTTATGTTGATTCGAAAATTGACACGGAACAGACACCGAGGTTCCATAAACACAAGGTGATTTTGGATGGTTTGGTAGACACCTAAGGTGTTTAATGGTGCTTGAGGTAGATTAGATTCGAGTGGCCCCCAGAAAACATTACCTTAAACCATGACGAGTGGTACCCCATTGACCGATTCACCTAGTTATTTTTTATTTAAATTTCCAAAACAGATTAACAATACCATTAGCAAAACTATGCGCATTTTAAACAAGCACCAGTAGGACAACGGCGGAAATTATGATTTTTCGTAGATAAGAGCAACTGAGATCTGTATAAAAATTTAACCAATACATGACATCAATAAAGGCGGAGGACAGTGGATGTAAATGGAGACGACATTTACATTAAGCGCATAGAGAAAAAACAAAAGTTGCGCGCACATAAAAACCTCGCAAGCTGTGGTTGCAAAATTAGCGAGTTGCATTTGGCGCCAAAACCAAACCCTCTGGAGGAAATTTAGCGTCAGCATTTTGGCAGGCTAAAGATTTGGTAAAGCAATTGAATAAACCTTGCGCGAAAAAATTCAAGCCTTTGCTAAAAGTAGTTTGGCTGTAAGGCAAATATAGTCCTAGAAATTAGCATAAGCTAGAGGGATTTTAAATGTGGCTGCGCTAAAAAGCAAACGAAACGTAGGAATTTAACAGGGGCGATGCGGAATCCTAGAATTGTAAATTTGTCTGTGGCACTTATAATTAGAAATTCAAATCGATGTATACGACAAAGAAAGTGACAGGACAACACGGAACATCACACACCGCCAACACTACAACAACGAGCAGGACAACATACGAGGTATATTTTTTGATGGTGCAAGGGTTTCCGCAAGACCCGATTATGGGACTACTGCTTTCACATTTAATGACCCAAAACCACACCCGAAAGTTGCAAAAATGGGCAGAGGAAGTCGAACTCTGGTGGGGAGAGTGACGCTAAAACAGCTAGTGTGTAAGCGCATTTGATGTGCAATCTCCTTTCCGAATTCACCGCCTCATTGAGGCAACGAAACACGGTCATTTGAGCTGTTTAAAGCTGCGTACTTGGAGTGGTTTTTAGTGGGAACCAATGCACCAATATTACATGTTATTTTATAGACACATGACTCGAAGGCTTGAACAGCTGGTTTACCGATGACAACTATAATGATTACAGCCAGGAGACCGCAAAGCACCAGAAGAAGCTAAAAATTGAATGAAACCAGAGAATTACAGAAATATCAACAGCTCAGATCAAGTAATTCAAAAGCGACACTACTAAGAGAATTTGCGTGGTTTCTTAACAACCAAGTGACAACAAGTGCTAGGAGTAATGTGGCACAAGGTAGCCCAGAGGAAAACCAGTTCAACGCCACATTTTGGTTAATCGAGCAGTGGGTCTCTTTCCGGAAAAAAAACGCAAAATTCGCTTATAGACTTTTGTGAAGTCTACTCAGTCACATCCGTTCGGCCATTCACATCACAATACAAATTACAATTTGTGAAAGTTGGTGACTTCGGGCGCGATTCCAGCCGATGGGCTTGTCCCAACTATTTGCGACACGTTAGTTTGTGTGCGCAGAGTCGGGTGCTATTTTCGTGAGCTTACCTTGCAATTTCTCCACCAAAATTTCCGTTTCAGCTTTCCCGCGCTTGCCTCAAATTGGGAGGCACCTGCTTGAAGTGCATCTACAAAGCAATGCCAAACAAGTCAATCGTAAAGACATGTAAAACATCGCGATAGCTCAGTTCAACAGTGACGCTCATGTGAGAACAACAGAAGGCTCTGTTGTAGGTGAGAAGGTGACAAAAACCTTATCGCGAGCAACATTAACAACAAGGTATACTCCAGATTCAACGTTTAAGATTGTTTATGCTGACAACAGAATGACTTACTAAAGACATTTAATTACTCCTCGGGTACAAGGAAAATAGAAGTGCTCGGGCCATTAGATGCTGGGCTATTTTCAAAGCGAAATGGCAGAAGACTAATCACAGGATACCTATCGTAAACAAGTGACAACCGTGCGCATTCATATTAGACAGAGACAGAAAGCTATAAGGCGACAGCATTGACAGGGTGCCGAATTTCCAAGGCCAAACATACAAAACAAATACGCTCCCTGATGTAGGGAAGAATAATGCTTAAAAAGGGGAACTTGTCACAAAACAAAGAATGAAATCTTCGGGTGCGCAAAAAATAACAAGATTGACAGAGTAACTAGAGAGGATCACCCAGACGACGACTTTGACATCCGCATATACCCCGGAAACGAAAGCAGCCTTGTTCTCTGTATCGCCCTTGGCCCACCGGCCATTCAGTGACAAGAGGCACGCGGTTCGTTATCTGAGTGAAAGTAATACGAAGTCGCATGCCAATGCAATCGAAAAACGGGCTGAGTGGATTCCGAATTCCGTGCAGTTGCCAACCCTCAAAGTAGCCGTTAAATAAGGACTCCCATCTCACGGTACGACTTTGAAATTTAGGGGGAATAAAATTGTTGTAAACAAAGAGTCTAATTGACAATACAACTGACGAAGGTGAGAAAGTTTATGCAGCGAAAAGCGCAATTTAAGATATCGCAACACCTGTCTGCAAGCGAAAAACGATTTTTTTTTAACACACTTTACATACCATAAGCAAGTGTAGCAGCCTTAACCGAGTTTCCAGGCTAACGAAAGAGAGCCATCTTGACTAGTTGACAAAGGTTGCGACTACCCGAAACCTCGATATAAGTTTATCGAAGGAAGGATTTTGGCAGTATGGCTGGTTCCAATGGGGTTCAACGATGCATCACCATCCAGAGCTACTGGCGAGCATTTTAAATACTTTCGTTTCTTTTTGACAAAGGCAGTGTGTGAGCAGTGAAGGCTTTGTATCGGGTCGCATGTAGAGAAACCGCAGACGTGTTGGGTCATAAGAGTAGAAAGACACTAACAGAAAGGCCAATCTCGAAGTTGAAGCTGTGTAATGTAAAGCGGGAAATAGTCGTAATGTTTTATACCGGATTTGAAGAAAGGACACTTCTCTACTAAGACCAATCACTACCAGCGAAGCAAGTAAGCCAGTGAGAGTTTGAGAATCATCCCCCATAAGCAGTCACGTAACTGCGGTCTGACATTGACTGGAACTTGACAATCCTGAGGCTACAGTGAAGCACAAAATTGCTTTGAACCACGACGGCAAAGATTTCAACGAATACAAAAATTGCAATTGTTTGCTCTAGAAGTTTGCCTAGGAAAGTTGAGAGAAATAATAGTCATATCTTCATTAAGATGTGTCACGCGCTTTAACAATGTGTGGATACATCTTGGTACATATGTTGTCACGAGAGAAGGCACCTTCAAATGGCTGACTATTGCGTTCGTCCATTTAAACTGCGAGATGTCTAATTTGCCCTGTACACACGACACCCCACCTGTATCCCATTCAGGCTCACCACTAACAATCACATGCTTCAGCAAATTAACGTCACACGTCAAACAAAAATATGCGGACAGGCGATAGCGAGTATTGCATTAACGCCCCAGATAACACTAAAATTGCAGAGATGAGGCGCTTAAAGGTGCTTCGATTCCAAGTTATTGATGGACCATGTCCGCAACAATTGGACTATGTAAAGAAACCCAATTCTATGCCACATGATACTCGGTGTGATCCTCAACTCAATTCTCTGGACAATGAGACAATGCCGATTCCACCGTATTACAACGCTGATTAGAATACCAAAGCGAGAGTGCATAGCTGAGTACCTCTGCACCACTGCCTACAATATTTTGGGTTTGACCAATCTCAGTCTGGCGACAAGCATAAGATTACATGATCACGGCCTAGACATCAATCCAGGAAGTTAGAAAGCTAGACAAGGCCAATAGTGGTGGTTATGGCAAGGGAAGTATCAGTTCTTGAAGCCAGGGTAGATCATTAGTAGGCACACAATCTACTCACCTGCTCGATCATCAAGTTGGGAAAGATTTTTGTCACGTTCGAGAACTTTCTCGATGTTTACTCGCATAATGTCAACGACCTCGTTCACTTGAGCTTGGGTCCGTTGGAGTCTTTTGTTAATAGTCTTTTCAGGCTTCTTTTCTGGAGGCTGCTGAATTTCGCCCGGCTGTTCAGCACTCCTAAAAAATTAAGCACTTTGCGAAATAATCGCCTGCCGCTCAGCCCAAGTAGGACGAAGTGTCCACAAATGGAGGACAATGTCAGGAACCTGCAGAACAACCAGACCGAGTGCATTACCGCATCGGTTGAGTAACCACCGGCTGCTTGCTGGTGATGACGAAACAAGGCGGGTGGTGTGTTAGGGCAGGTCACGACCCAAAAAGGAGTGAGGAGACCAGGAACGGCGGAGTCTCGGTCTTCTCTTAAGTCGATCAGGCCGTTGTCGTGTTTTGTTTATGTGAGTACATTACAATTCATGGCATAGACATGGCAAATTTTATGTAACGAAAACCGGGCTGTCGAAATTCGTAATGAAGGACTTGACTAGTGTCATTTTAGCTACTCAAACCGGTGGTCTTAGAGGATGTGAAGAGATGACTTGGCTTAAAATTATAGTTTTACCTTAGACCAATAATAGACAAAAGTGCACTCGATCATGTATGACACCAGCACACGAATTGTTGGATTTAGGAAAAATGATACACCCATGGGAATTGTCGTAATAGGCGCAATAGGCGAAGAACTAACTGAAGGCTGTTTGGAGGTTCAACAGCAAGGCAAAACGTCTGTTCGGCGCTTATTGGGTATTACTTAGCCTTGAATCTACGAAAATGCACAAAATCTGGTGTCGACGGCCGCAATTTTTCACCTTTTAGAGGTTGAAGCTATCTGAATACAGCTGCGATATGCCCTACCATACTTTGACTGCAGAGAGAGATATTATCACTGCATGTAATCATTGGGATAAATTATAGACAAACGGGTTACAGACGTTGCCTGAAGCGTGAATGCCAATGACGATTACATGAGGTTGTAAAACTGTGGATTTGGGAGAACTTGATGTTACTTGCGCGGCCGTGGCATCCCACAGGGTTAAAATTATTCTCAAGAAGGGCACACGGTAGATTCACTAGAGCAAACACAGACGCCGTATTGTTCGGGAAGGGGAAACATGACAACGGAAAGGGGGAGGCGCTTTTAACCACTCAGATGCCTTGATGGAAGTAAACATTTAAATGCAAAGGCCAAGTTTGGTAGTAAATCGCTTTTGCCTCAACTACGTTGGTCTTAAAGAGACTATGCAGTAAGACTTCTGAGAAACAATATGCTTTTTGAATGATACGGAGAGCTGACTTCATGATGTAACAAGTTATTTGAAAGGGTTCATGAAAATAGCTAAGAGTACCTTGTAAAGGCAAATAAAATTCTAGCGAAAACACGATATTCAAACCATAGACATAGGAAAGCAGAATGACCCAAAGGTTCACTGATAAAGTGGGACTACAGGTGCAAAAAACAAAAATCATTCGTTAGCCGGAGAAGATACCGCAGAAGCAACATATTCTCCAACGCGGACACAGTAATTAATTTAGTATGAATTGTTTGAATAAAATAATCTGATTGATCGAACACAGGCAGTGCTAATTAATCACAGTAAAGGGAGGGAATGGGGTGGGTGCAAGATGTAAACGACATCTGGCTACAAATGTTTTTTTGTCTAAACAGCAACGGCATCGGGACTTTCAGTGAGCAGTGTGCTCCAAAGTGAAACAATTAAGCGACAATAATCCAAAAGCCTTTTAGATAAATGGAGCAATTTGGCTTTCTAAAGAATTACGGCAAGTTATTCAGACTGAAAAGTGAATGCTTATACATGGGAAGACAACTTGATGGATAAAATGGCTTTAATACGAATTAATAAGACAGAAATATTATTTCTCCTGGATTAATCGAGGAGGTTAAATAATTTGCAATTTAGTAAAAATGACTAAGCATTTAATTAGGTTGATCAGAGAAGAGTGTAATTTCAGTTTGCATATTCGTATCTGTCCTTCCTGATAATAATTGACATCCACATTCTGGTTGGCTGCATAAAAAAAGCGAAAATTCTACAAACGGTTTTACAAGATGCAAAAAATGAAGAAACAGAATATGTACTCTATGTTTCCCATTTTAAAGAGCAGCTTTGACTTTCAAAGCATCACGAGAAACTCAATTTGACAAAAAAGTATCTGAATAATTCAATGATGTTATTTTAAGTCAAGTCCTTTTGATTAACATTGTTTAGTTTACTCAATAACCTTAATTGCAAAACACTGTACCAACTTCCGAAGAAAAGCTTTATAAATACCAGAAGGAATTGAATGTTGGTGGAGTTGAAGGACTTGAGATTGAGGTTTGGTAGATATTTACCGAGGCCATATTCAAAGTAAAGTTATTATATAGTGGGCGTCAAGATCATGTGAAAAGTCATTGGAAACCTTAGACCATGTTAATTTAAATCGGGTTTGAAAAAAATATATGCATCCTACGTTCCGAATTCATGAAAATTGTGCACTTTCCCCTTTTACACTCAATATGCAAAGGTCAGATGTACAATGCAGTATAATAAAAGCACACCAAACGGTCTTTCCTTGGTGCAAAAGTTCGTTTTTTAAAAAAAACACCAACGGTTAGATAAATGTGATTAAGTAAATTAATCATCCCTTCAGGTCAACGCTGTATTTATGCCCGACATGCCCAACAAACTGACCTCGAAGGCAGGCGCCGTAAAACCACATTAGCATAGCCAACCGCTAAAACAACACTGCGAAGTCCTTAAACTACCCACAGAGATTTTAAACCCACACGCATCTTGCTAACATTATGTTCACAGGCGGAATCAACATTACGAGTTTATTTAACAATTTGAGCAGTCTCAAGTAAATGACACTCCCAATCTCGTGACATGGCTTATTCATCCTGGCTTATCTAATAAAATGACTTTGGACCTATCTAGCTGAGGGGACGAAGTTACCTTTTAGCCATTTACCCAAGCAATGCAGAGTGCCATAAACTACTGGTTGGCCCGACCCGAGACCTTGAGAGATTGAGTGGCGTTTGAACATTGTGGCGCCACTAAACCTTATCAATCTTATGGAAGATTATCAGAGTCACAATGCAATGTTTCGCTAATGGCTATTATTACGTGCGGTTATTTATACTTTACGCTTCCAGTACTTCAAAAATGTATAAAGCAAACAGGAAGAGCGTAATAAAAATTAAAACCAGACGATTTTTAAGCAACTAATGGCGTATGGTAGCAATGACAACATCAAAATTAGACCAACATGAGGTGCAATTTTCCGTACTAAAAAGTTGCCAAGTACTAAACTGGATATTGTGATCGTGAACACAGCCTAATGTGAATTTTGAGTATATGGCCTTCAGTTAAAGAAAACATAAAGCATTTTTCCAGGATCACCTACCTGGATTTAAGAGACATAAAAAACTATAACCAGGCACACCCACATGGAAGTTAGAAGCATGTAACTAACATCTAAAAATCGTTTTATCAAGAAGAGTTCATGTCACAAGGTGTGACAACTCTTAACAACACTTTAAACAAGTTTTGATTGATATTTTTATACTATTTAATGTCATTATAAACAAAACAGAGGCGGCAGAAAAATTCGACTACGTGAGACACGACAGGTTGTTTTAGGCATAGAAAGGGCGCACAAACACCAGATGGGCCTAATCTTACACTTGATGAACTGTGAACATCTGCTTAGGGAAACATTTGAATAAACTTAATAAAGTTTCCTTGGATGTAACTCCCAAAAGGCAAATAATCTATTAAGAATTGCCGAAGGTTGATATACTTACAAAAATTCACAACACGTTAATTTCAATGCAAAGAAATAAGGAGTCACATGATCGGCATATTTTAATGACAATGCACTTCCGGTAGAGGCGACAGTGAAAATATAGAAAGTGTAATCGCAACTAGACAAAGTTTTACTAACAACATTATACTCAACTCCAATACTAAATATTTAGACAATCCCAGGTGTTGGTGACTGCCGGGCAAATTATAGCAGATTTATTTAAAATGCACCGAAATTACCCTGCCAGAGGTAACCACAACTGTTTGTTCAGCAACGCAAACGCACCTAGACGGGAAATTTTAACAGTAACAACGTGCATAATCAAAATAAAACAAACTTTTGTTTACTTTAATACGTATGCACATTATAACTAGTTGAGCTAGCTCTGGAATCGGCCGTGGTTGGGACGTAAATGGCTGACAGCAGAATTCCAAGGGCTAAATTCGCGTAGAATTAGATTTAAGTAATTACATTTAAGCATTGCACTGAGCTTTTTGGCCCCATGTAAATTAAATTGCCTCGCAATAAAAAAGGACAGATATGATGCAAATAAGTTTCCTCTTATTAAATTATGTAGTTCAGTATTATAACGCGTTTGACTCAACATAAAGATTGATATAAATGATCGGAACGGAAAAAAAGGCTCACTGGAGAAAATATTTCTAACAAAGAAATTTTTAACTCACAGAAAGGCAACAAAATATTAAGAGGTCAACCTGGTGGCAAAACTACAATTATTCGATAAAGAAATGACAACGTGAAATAAAAAACACTGGCACGCATGAGTTTTCGTATTGTTAGATTTTATCAAGATAGCAAATAGTTTAGCAACCAAATAATTGTTTTAAAATGTATTCTAGAAGGCTTTAACAGTCCACAGGGCTATTTAGGAATTCTACGGAATTCGTGGGAATAAAAGCAAACAGATATTTTCTAGTTGGAATCTCTTGCAAGTCAGTAAAGCCATAAAAGTGTAAACAATGCTTCAGATGGTCATAACAGAACATTCGCCATGAACATAAGAATAAAAGATGGGCAAGTCTGCGAACACGTCACGCACTAACCGAAATTTAAGTTATGATCATAACTGAGGAAAATAATTTGTAGGAGCTGAAATGCTTGCAGGGAATTAAAAAGCTACATTAGGCGAATTCCAACTCACATTATGCACAAAAGCACCCAGATGAAAGCACTACTTCAATGTATTTTGCAGTCGGAGTTTGACCTTGACCTGTTCAAGGACGACGCAACTCCACTTAACATCTTCCACGTAAGATGAATCTTGATGGAACAACACACTTTTGTCCATTTAAAATAGCAATTAAATTAGAATATAAGCATGAAAACTTTGTTATATTTTTTTGAAAATATAAGATGCTAGTGTGGATAGATGTATTTGAATTTAGACTATTGATTAAATTCGGTGAATTTTA